CGGTGTCGAATCGTACTGTGGTCAAACGGAACACGCCCGGTAAAATACAAGAAGAATGGGATACTAATGTTATATATACTCAAGCTAAAACAATGTCTCTGAAATATTCTAAAAAAATAAAATGTTGACATTTATATTTTATATGCTATTTATAGATAGATTCCTTTATTGATTCCCCTTAGGGTTACAAAAACCATATACAAAGAAAAATCTTACACTATCCTTACAACTAACTTATTTATGTTACAACACACACACACACATTTGCAACCCTACTCTACGCTATTTGGACCCCCCCCTTCCGGCAGTCAACACTAATCACCTACACAGCCATGGATTACCAGACATCCTTCGCACTTACACAATTCCACAGTCACACTATTCCATACATCCATTCCCATTCCCCTCATTCAACCCCCACCTCTCCCTATCCAATCACTCCTCCCCATCCAACAGCCCTGTCAACTTTTCTCTTCCCCTATATTCTTCCAGCTTCCTTAACCACCTTTCTCCCTCTCCCTCCTCCCCCAAGACCACATCAATCATATCTTCCCAATTCCCTTCCGCCCCCTATGCCCAACAATCCTCCCACACGTGCCTCCAACCCTCTTCTACCAATTCACACATCCTACACATTCTTTCACTCTCCTCTTCCCAGTACCTTCCTTCCCCCATCTCGTTTCCCAATCTAAATCTCGCCACCCTCTGAACACCTGCTCTCCCCCCATCGCTTTTTTAAATACCCCGGCACTCCTTCCTTCTTAATCCTCCCGTACTACCTATTATACCTCGAGCTCTCAATTCTCCTCCACTTCTCCTCTTTCTACATCCTCCTTTCCTCCTCTATCAGCAACCGAGCTCTCCATTCCCCTGCTTCCCCTCCTTCCCTCAACTCCGCCAACCTTATTCCTCTATCTTCATAATACTTTATCCTATCCCTCTCTCACTCAGACACCCCCTCCCCACTCCCCTCCCTATCCCTGATCTCCTTTAGACACAAGCTTGCTATCTCGTTACCCTTCCCTCTTTCCAATCTCTCCTCAAACCTCCAGGCTCTTTGCCCTTCCCCTCAACAAATCTCTCTGCATTTCTTCCCTCACCATATACCCCGGAATCCTCCACTCTACCCCCAATAACCATCTTAAATATCTGTTCTGCAACCTCTTCACCCCCTCCCACTCTCTCCATCTCCAGATCTCCACCCCATACCCTACCACTGACCAGACTAGAGCGTCGAACAACCACAACCTTCTACTCCAATCCCCACTGAACCTATATACTATTTATAATATGTACGTTATATATATTTTATAATATATATATTTATATATATTTTACTAAATTATGACAATAAAAAAACCTTATTTATTGTTTTTTATTTAAAGCAAAAATAATAAAATAATAGTGTAATAACCTAATCTAGATGCGTCTATATGTGTGTGGTGTGTGTGTGTGTAACACCAGAGAGAAGCCTGAGAGCGGCCATGCCATTGTAGTTTCTTACGACGGTTTCAGCCGCTGGTTTTAGCCGTATTTCCACAAAAGTGAAACTCAAAGGCCGTTTTACATTAAACGCAAGTCTCAAATCTCGTGAAATTAACCAATTGCAGAGTCAAATCAGCCAATCGACCAACGTGATTGATCAGTTCCACGAGACCTGAGACTTGCGTTTAATGTAAAACGGCCTTTGAGTTTCACTTTTGTGGAAATACGGCTAAAACCAGCGGCTGAAACCGTCGTAAGAAACTACAATGGCATGGCCGCTCTCAGGTTTCTCTCTGATGGAAAGTATACGAAGCGAGCAATATAGGAGTATTACATATATGATAAATTCCATGGAACTCAGTGGTACTAGCATTTGTGGCGCTCTCTGGAATAATGCGTTGATAAAATGAAACTACATTCCAACATGGCGTCCAGTGTAACCATATATATAATACTTCTATATTGCTAGTCGCGTTTCTTCGCAATGAGAGGCACGAGGCCCGAGAAAGAGAGACGCACGAAGTCCAAATATGGGCATAGATAGTCGCGTCATTATGCGCAGGCGTCTACTAAGCGAGTGCGAGCGAGACAAAGCATTGGAAAGAACGCGAGAAAAAGAAATGCCCAAACGTGCTTGAATGTTCACCGCATGCGCACAAAG